TAGTCACTAAAACTCCGCTATTGCAATTTTCTGATATCACCTGAGGTCCATAGATTAGTTTACGTCCGATCATGGCCACCTAGATGCAATTTTAAAAGTGACTCTGAAAAAATCAAGTAGGCTGAAAAACTTCCGGAAATGTCAGTTTCTGATCCAGAATTGTCTCAGAAATCCAAAAATGTTACAATATACAGGGTGTTCCATTTAAAAATTCAGAACCGGAGCCATTTCCGCTGAAACCGGAAGTGACCGGAAAGTGAAAAATATGTGAAAACTCCCCACTCCACATACCATTTATCTGTACCAAATCTCGTTTTGATACACCTAATAGTCTAGAAGTTATGACTTGTCTAATAGATTCGTTGACACCCGGTATACTTTGTTTTAGCATTTATTTTTATACATTTCTATATTCCATTATTTTTAATATTTATTCTATATATACTCTGTGATAATAGCATTTCCTGTAACTGGGTACTCCTGTTGGAAATAAATCGCTTTTTTTTTTCAAATTGAGAGCCAAAATATATGCGTGTGTGTGCGTGTGTGTTTCCTTGAACAATTTTTAGAGAAATATGTAGTTTTGAAGCAATTGAATCTAACTTTGCTCATGATTCTGTGAAGATATTTTCCAAAATCATTGTTGGAATATTTTTGGGGACGCGAGTAAAAAGGAACCATGCAATATGTTATAAACTTAAACATTTCCGATTTCAGGCAGTGTCTCGAGGTCAAAGCGCAGGACATGTTCAAGTCAGTGCAAGAGATTCGAACAAATTTACAGTTTCGATAAATATCGAACCTCAGTCGAAAGCAGCATTTCTCCTGACATATGAAGAACTCCTGGAGAGGAAAATTAACCAATACGAATTAGTTTTGAACATTCATCCTGGGCAAATTGTAAAGAAGTTGAGTTTGGAGGTGAGTATGGTCTACATTCCGCAAATTTTTCATCATAAATGGCCGATTGTTTCAGTTTCCGTATCTCCATCGAACAATTAAAAATAATACAAAATTTACTAGAAAAAAGAATTGATTGTAGACTGGTAAAACGCTTTTGAACAATTTCAGTTCGTTGAATTTCTTGTCCGAATATCATGCAACGTAGGTACTTCTTTATTCATCAACAACCGACGAAAATAAAAGTATCTATTGAAATGAATCTTGAATTTGAATGTCACATATGAGTTCATCGTTATTGACTATCAATTTTTTGTAATCGAATTCAAACAATGATTAATGAATAACGAAGAATTCAACATGTAATTTCGTCTGATCAATATTTATACACATGCATACTCATGATTCACAAACTCCTTGTTATTCGTTGGGGGAACAAAATAGTTTCTACTAACCTCTAGCTAACTAGTCCAAAAAAAGGTAATCCCCACATATCATCATGTGATTTTGATACTGACCATTTATGAAAAACAACATCAAATAGGGTACGTACTGCTTGCAATATGAACATATTAATAGATACCGGGGACACAATTTGTAACCTTTTCGCTAAAAATTTTAAAAACAACTTCATCAAACCTATACAATGCTTTTCATGATGAGCGTTAATTAGCCGTTTCTGGCAAACTATTCAACGGATCAACCTGAAAATTCCAAAGTATGCATAAGTCAATATGACCTACACGCCTAAAATATTTCAGATGAAGCGGCGCTGTCGCTTCTACTATAACGTAGCGGCTTCTTTGATTTTTCAAAAGGAACACCCCGTATATAATATCATATTATGATTCATTATCACTTTGTCAACAAATTCATATACTATTTCCCTATACCTATCTATTACCGTTTAGAAGATATAAATTAATTTCGATATTTTTTTTTCCAAACATGAACTTTTATAAATGCTGATAATCTTGAACTCTCTTGCACTAAAACGATCAAATTTGAAATGGAGTGGAGTGATACTATGAGGATCTCCACTCCGAGTCATATTTTCATTTGCCTCATACAGGGTCTTCAAAAAATGCCGATACTTTGATCTCATGAAAAAATGAGTGGAACTCAATTTTTTCAAATAGAACACTCAGTATATTTCAACATTTTTGAGCTCTACATCCAATTTTAGAATATCTTTGTTTAGATAATACTATTTCTATTTTGAACCGTTTTCGAGATAAACTGTTTCAAACGGAAATTGACATGGTTTCCTTGTTCATCACTCATTTTTGTAAAACAGATTTCGTTTGATGTTTCTCAATTAGTCACAGATAATACAATGAAAAGATAATTATTAAAATACTCCTCAACCATCGAATGAAACTTCTCTTCAAACAATAGTTTTATTAACGCTGAAACACGAACTGAAAATAATAAACCCATAAATTAATGAGTTAATTTAATCGTCAGTGTATTTCAGAATATGTTCAAACACATCTCTACCTCTACTTAAACAAACATGTAATCTCTTCAAAAGATTGTCATGTGTAGCGCTTCTGATCAAGTCTGGAGTCAAACTATTGAAAGCAGTTGTAACTCTCGATTTCATATCTTCCATTGTTGTTATTGGAGTAGAGTAAACCATATTCTTAATGAAACCCCACACGAAATAATCCAATGGATTGCCATCTGGTGTTCTAGGAGGCCAACGAAAAGGTCCATTATTACCAATCCATCTGCCTTCGAACCATAGGTCGAGAAACTAATTTAATAGGATTCACCGATTGTTTGTTAAACTCGATGGATAAACAGGTTCAGGTTGATGTTGTATACACCGACTTCAGTAAGGCCTTTGATAAGATTAGTCACAAAACTGTATTAAAGAGACCTGCTGAAGAAAGTGTGAATGACTTTTTATTGAGATGGATATGGTCCTGTTCGACTAACAGGTCACAAATGGTGGCCATAAATGGATATACGTTACTCCCCTTCACGGTATCCTCCGGAGTTCCTCAAGGCCGCCATTTGGGTCCTTTACTCTTCTTTATATACATCAACGAAATCTCTAGCTGCTTTAATAAGTGTAAATTTTTACTGTATGCCGATGACTTGAAAATCTATCACACAGTAAAGGATTCATATGACACCGGAGAAATTTAGGAGGACTTTGAAAATCACGAACTGAAATTAGTTTCAGAAGGTAAAGACTTAGGAATGATTACAGTTGTCATTTAATTCACATATAGGAAAAACCGTCAATAAATGTAATAGTTTTATTGGATTCCTCAAAAGAAACTGTCAAAACTTCAGAACGGCAAAACTTCTCCTCAATTTATATCGTGCATACGTACATAGTAGGCTCTGCTTTGCATCAGTTGTTTAGAATCCTTAGTACCACATAAACAAGTGGTACTAAGTCCAAAACAAATTTCTTCGCTACATTTAGTCACAAATTAAATTTTCCAATTACGAATAGCGATTACAGTCCCATTATGCGCCAATACAATATTATTCCTATGAAGGATAGGAGAACTGTTACGGATCTCATCATGATTTTCAAGTTGATGAAAGGATTAGTCCACTGCCCAGAGGTTTATTCCAAAATTGAGCTCAATGTTTAGGGTAGAACGTTGAGGCGTACAGAATTCTTTAAGTTAACTTGCGCAAGGACAAATGCTGCTCAAAATTCACCACTTTATAGAATGCTTGAAACCTTCAACGAAATTTGCAATGATATTCAATATTTTGAAATCTCTTTAGACTGTTTCAAACGCAGGATGAAAAAAAAATTCATTGATAAGTTGTGATCATTTCTGTAGTCTCTGTCACTCTTATGAGAATTATGTTATACTACAATTGTCCAATTTAATTTACAAAAAATTAAAATGTACATTCTTTTTTCTCAAAGCCCACTTGAGCTAAAATTATAAAGTGGGTTCTCTATTGGATTTGTTAATCTGTTTGTAACCCCTATATTGGTAAATAAATATAAATTTGAATTTCAGGTATTTATAAATGAGAGCAGACCACTTACTTTTGTTAGAACGCCATCACTGAGATCTGGAAATGAAATTAGTAAAAACGATGGTAAATTGAATCCTTCTTCGGAAATTCAAATCATAAATTCTACCAGTGCCGTTGTTAAATTCCACCCAGATGCTGAAGAACAGAGAAGGTTTGCTAAAGATATGGGAGTGAAGGAGAATGAAGGTCTCGCAGGACAATTTGTTGTTCAATACGAAGTTGAACGCGATCCTAGCGGCGGTGAAGTGAGTAGTATTATTGCATTATTGACCTCATCAGCCTACGTTATAGATTGCGTTTCGGCTTTTCAGAACAAACAGTTCACCAAGATGGTTGTATCGTGTTTCTTGTGAATAGGGTATTTCGCATTTCTAAGAATTTGTAGAGTATACTACGTCATAAGCGTGTTAATAATATTTAAGTGATTTTTCATTATTTACTGTCACTCATCACATGTATGAGTTAAGAAGAATTTTCCATATAAATCGGCTGATAATGACAACTAAACAGATATATTAAGTTATGCTAGTCAGGTTTCAAATCAAGTTATGAGTTTGTTCGATTAATAACCTAACCTATTTATTTGGTGGAAATTCATAATGTACACAGAAAAGAAAAAATGATTTTTGTTTAATTTTTACTAAGATTTTCATTTGTTACGACCGTCCCCGGTTTATTAAATCATTTTCAAGTGAACTGTGACACAAACTGTATCGTAACAAATGAAAATCTTGGTAGAAATTAGACAAAAGTTATTTTTTCTATCCTATATTTAGTTACAAGTTACATTCGTTACCGTTATCCAAACTTTTCACCAATCAATCCACATTAATAGCTACAGTTGATCAAAAAAGAAAATCAGTTAAATGGGTATCTAAATAGTTTGAATTGTTTTTCAATATCTGTCACCTCATATAAAGACCATATCTTCCGAAACATAACATTACAACTTTGTGTTACCGAAAATCTGCTCTTGTCACAACGACAATATGGTTAACTGAAATCATTCAAACGAACACTTTGTTCAGGCCAGTCTCAACTCCCTACACTGTAGATTGATAGACTGAAACCTATCAGAAAAGAACTACTCCCCTGGCTAATACCACGAAGGGCGTTGGATTATATTCGACAGGTGTCAGTGTAGGATTCTTCACTGAAGTTATTCCTTCACATACTGTTGGCGATACAACTGCCACAATAGATTTTCAATTATTAAACTACGAAATTATAGAATTGATAAAGAGCTTAAAGCATTCAAACGCAAGTGGTTACGATGAGATATCAAACAATTTATTGAAAAAATGTTCTTATGAACTTTGCAGCCCAATGACGTATATCATAAACTTGTCTACTGAAAATGGAATTTTTCCGGATAGTCTAAAACTAGCAAAAGTAACACCAATTTATAAAAAAATCATTCAATTAATGTCTTTCTTTACAACAAATAACCTTTTTTCAGAAAACCAACACGGTTTCACAAAGAACAAAAGTACAGAAACAGCACTTTATGAGTTCAATGAGCATGTGGTTAATGCACTTGATGGTAAATTCCATATTTGTGGATTGTTCATAGACTTCTCCAGAGCTTTCGATTTCGTTAATCATGACCTGCTATTAGGGAAATTGGAAACATATGGTGTAAGAGGAGTTGCCCTAGATTTAATGAAATCCTACCTGGAAAACAGAGGGCAACGTGTCAGTGTTGGAAACACTCTCAGTCAGTTGGCAACCATTAGGCAGGGTGTCCCACAGGGATCAATCCTTGGACGTATACTATTTTTGATATATGCAAATGACCTGATGAAATATTTTCAAGGATTGTCAACTATTCACACAGTAGCGTATGCAGATGACACAAATTTCATAGTGAAGGAAATTGATGTAACGACCCTACAGGAAAGAACCCAGGATGTACATAAACAAGTAAACATACTTGCAGATCGGTATCGGGCTATTTGGCCACTCGTCAGTGCAAGGTAGTGTCTATCATCAAGATAGATAATTTCCAATAATTCAAAATCGAATTCCTTCAGAGTATTATTCCTCGAATTAGGCTGAAGCGGACGACAAACGACAGGTTTGCCATCGCTCCATCTTCCTGTGAACGAGATAACCAACCGCTTATCCGAAATTTTCCCAATTTCTCGTATGAGGAAAGAAAACTTTTTACATATAGTCAGTGGGTACACTTGAAGATTGGCTATGAATCAAATCATCTAAATGAACAATTCGTTCAGATGCAGCAATGACACAGGCAGACCGATCGATGAAAAACCTGTTTGTTGTCCGCTTTAGCCCAGTTCGAAGAATGATACTCGATTTTCAATTATCGGAAATTATTGACTTTATGTTAACGAAAGACAACACCTTGCACTGACGAGTGGCCAAACAGCTCGAAAACGGTCTGCAAGTGTATTCCAATAATTGAAAATCTGTTGCGGTAGTTGTATGGCCAACAGCTTGTGCAGGAAAAACTTCAGTGTAGAATCCTGCAGTGACACCTGTTGGATATAATCCAATGCCCTTAGTGGTATTAGCCAGGGAAGTAGTTGTTTTCTGATAGGTGTCAGTCAATTAACCTACAGTGTAGGGAGTTGAGACTGGCCTGAATGAATTGCTCTTTTAGATAATTTGATTTATAGCCAGTCTTCAAATATGCCCATTGACTATATGTGAAAAATGGTTAACTTAATTTCAATCAGAGAAATTTCTTCCGAATTGCAAGCAAACGATTCTTAAGGGAGATCAGTTTGTTGGAAAATTTTTTCCTCTTTCTGATTCTAAATCATCACGATATTTTTTACTACATGAAGCAAACGAACTGGTTTTTTTAAACGAATAAATGAACACGAAATAAAATTTTTTTCGAGAATATAACTTGCCTCTTTCAACAAAAAACTAATCAATCGTAACCAAAGTAATTCCATTGAAATGAAAGCATAATACCAAATCAATAAAGTATTTACGATATCTTTTCGGTCGGTGGCAATTCGAAGCTCTGAACGACTCTGAAAACGTTGTTACAGAATGCCTTCTGGCGACCCAGGAGGTTTTCACATTGAATTTCGTACAAGTTCAATGGAATTGAGAACTGCGCTGGCAACACAAAACAGCATTATTGTTGGTTTGAAAAATCCGCGCATTACCATTGTTGTTTGGAGGCGTGCATTATCATGCATGATTCATTTAGAAACTAGTCCTAAGTTTTGCTGCATATAGAAGTACGATAGGTTGCAGAATGGTACCACGGTAGGTAATTTCATCAAGAAAGCTGTCCAAATGAATGAGCGCCTCAAACCACCAGCGAACGCTTTTGTAAGCTGTACACCTCCTAGACAGCCGCAAGAGTTCTATATTTCTAGGACGTTTCCATCCACGAATTCTTCAGGAATCTGGGTAGAAACTGAATCTTGATTCGTCTGTGAACAGCACAGAGCTCCACTCCTTATGTCCCCGGTTTTGGTATTCTTGTGCCTATGCGAATCTGTAGGCGAGATTGTCTCTTGTTGATAGGACGCGGATTGGTCTAGAAGAATGAAGTCCATACACATACAGCCTGTTTCTCAGTCTTGACCCTCACAATGATATAATGCGTATGGAGTAGGTGATTTGTCACCTACAAGCACAAAGTATGTGCTCTGCTGTTTCATTATTTTCAGAGGTGACACTCCGAGTCTCTGCAAATGACATTGACCTGTGAGAAGGTCTTTTAGACATCGTAGTTCATCCCTATCGTAGTCCAACAACTGGTTGGTATCAAGCTTCGAAGGGTGAATGAACGCCTTGGCGTGAACCAATTCTGGAAGGTTCTGCTTGCCATCCAGATGTTTAATCTTTGTATGGCAAAGCCAAAAGTGATGCCAATGACAGGTTCTGGTCCGATGAAGCTTCTTGCAGCACTCTCCTTTGTAAGGGAGCCATCAGCCTCATTGCCTTCCAGGTCAGTATGGCCAGGAATCCAGACAATATGTTGAGTTTTTCTATCGAGGAGAGTCGCTTTTACCAAATTGCTACTAATTCAGACGTTGCTCGGTAGAGGCAAAGAGCTTCCAACGCCGCTTGGCTTTCATTACGTGTTTATGAGGTTGGATTCTTTCAGTAGCGTCAACTTCCGCTTGAAATATAGCTGCATAGGTTTCTAGACAGATTTATATCTCTGTCCTCGGTCTGCGACTGAAAACACCTGCACCAGAACCTGAAAGTGTGTTTGATCCATCTGCGAAATAACAACTATCTGCTCTTGATATTTCCTTCTTCCGGAGGATCCAGTCCTATCTAGTTGAGAACACTACTTCATAAGGCAGTTCGTAGTTGACAGTTATAGCCAAAAAGTCAGAGGTCATTTCAGAATGCTGCGACTTTCTTTGAAAACTTCTGATTATTCCTCTTCCATATTCTCTGTTTCACTATCACTCGTCATTTAAATCAATAATGAATTTATTTCCACCATTAATATGGAAGTGTCCAATCTCCATATAGTCTTTTTCAACTAAAATTACTTTCATTCCTTTTCTGCCAGTCTTTTTCGATAATATTAGATACTTCTTCTTCAATTAGCTCTATTACCTTTTCACCAAAGTTTGAAAAATTGTTTTTACACCTAATGTTTTGTTTCCCCAAATCAACTCGATGGGATTGAGAACACGAAAATAGGAAGGAAGTCTCAGTGTGGTCTCTCCATACTTTTCAGCAATACTCCCACCTTTTCAAATGTTTTGTCTGTAGAACTTCGAGTATTTGGTTTTTGGTATAGTAATCTTCAAAATACATTACACTTCTTGCATCCAAATTTGGAATCAATGTGTTTCCAAACTATGTTCTTCCATGTTCTCATGATAGTCAACATTGCAGTTCGCAAGTTTTTTCTACATAATTTCTGAGAATTCGAAATCCATCCTTTACTCCTTTTGCAATGCACAATGATTGGTCGCGATCCTTAGTTTGCAGACATGTTAGGCGTATACATTTTCTTATCATCAGTCGATCCTTTCGTAATTGTGTCGTGAGTGACCAAGTTTCGTCCAAATAGAAAATTTGCCGTTGTTCTTGTCTATATTTAGTCATTTGTTTTAGGTATTTGTTACGCAATTCCACTATTCTTCTGCTTTTCATAACTGCTTGACGTTTGTTTATTATTTCAAATCTGAATCCTAGTTTCTTTATCCAATTCTGAAAAGTTTTATCACAGCAGCTCACGTTATGGCCGGAAGTATCCAATTTCTTCCTTATAATTTCAGTTGTAGGAATCTCATTGTATTTGTAACAGTCGTTTATTTTTTTCAATGATTTTATTAGATGAACATCTAAAGGTTTTGGTGGTAACTCCGTATCACATCGCATCTTGTGTTCATAAGTTTTGTTTTCGACTATTTTACGTAGAGCTGAGAATGGAATTTCAGTCAATTCTCATGTTGCTTGTAATAGTTGGTTTCCCCCGAAACCAAACTTGAGATGTAGATTCTTGTATACATTTAGACATGCCCTATCTGTGTTTAAATATTCAAATGTATCCGAATCTTATACACTCCGAATCTTATTCATGTGAAGATCATGCAAAGAAGTAACTTTCAGACACAAACTGAAAGAAAGTCCTTCTGAAACAGCTACTTTCATATAAACATTGAATTACACGGAAGATACTTTTCTCTACTCAGTTGTATTTCAAACATTCGTTGTGGAATAAAATCATATATCATTCACAGGAGTTCTACTTTAAATGAATGGTAACAAATTGCACTTACATGGAACATTGTCATCCTCACTGGTATACATCGATGTTTCGCCGTAAGACACTTGCCCTAAGGCTCTTCAGTACCAAATTGGATAACATTATAGAAAATACACACAATTCATTCATAGATTACGATTTTTAATCTCACGGAATAAGCTTGATCTGCTCATGTCATCGATGACATCGTAATGACATTCATTCACCTATTTGATTCAATCCCAGCCAACAGGAATCTTATTTGAATTGAAGGGGTTATATTTTGAGGAGTGATTAATTTTTGGGAAAGAAAGTTTTTGGCTTTCTACTACTTTCTTTTCCAAAAATTAATTACTCCTAAAAATATAACCCTTTCAATTCAAAAAATTTCAAGTAAATATAACTGCGCCAATATCGAATTCCAACACTCAAATCGCGATCAGTTCCTGAACTGAACAATGATGACACGACGGCGATAGTCATTCCCGCATTTCTCGATTTCTATTCCCCATCGTTTCATGACCTCAAATTTAATTTTATGTCTCTTCAGCCAATCAAAAAATTCGGTTAGTGAAAATCATCCAATACGAACCGTCAAGTCTACATTCCACGTGGACTCTTTCGCAGCCGATTAATTTCAATGTATTGGTTTTTTTTGGCCTTTGAGAGTGCAGCCAAATTCAAATGTTCACAATATCGTTTACTTCGACTATACCCAATAGAAGATTTCAACTGGTCTATTAATGAACTTTATTATGTTCAACAGCATCACAAAATTCATAACAGATGATTATAAGGTACCTCGCCTCTCTATAGCTTTGAACTTTGAGTAATATTTTTCGATAGAAATTTTTCTATTAATCAATTTAAGAGAAAAAATGTTGAAATGCAATACTCAGCCAATAATCTGCATGACATTACGTCAAGGCATAACAATCATATTTAAATTCTTCAGAAATCAAATTCTCACATCATGTTCGTTTTCCAGGTTTTATTGCAAGATGGATATTTTGTACATTTTTTCGCACCGGAAGATCTTGAACCACTTCCCAAACAAGTAGTGTTCGTTTTGGACACAAGCGGAAGTATGGATGGACGCAAAATTGATCAGTTGAAAGATGCTATGAACAGTATTTTGAGTGAAATTCGTGAGGGGGATGTCATCAATATTGTAGAATTCAACAGCGATGTTTTCGTTTGGAATATTGACACCAGCCTCAGTACTGAAGTTTCGTTCAGCAATTATCAAGAACCTTTCGAAGAATTATCAGTAAGTCAAAGATATAAGTGTAACTGTGACTATTCCTCGGTATCGAAAGAAAAGATATTAAAGTTCAATAAAGAAGTTCAATAAATAGCAACGACAATTGCAAATACTTTTTTTACAATTTCATTTCAATTTTCTCAAGCACTTATAATCATTTTCTGCTCACAACGTAGAGTAATTATCTCTGATTGTTCTGCATCTTACATTGATGGAACCTGTAGACCTCTCATCACTCGCATTAATGAACATTTAAAAAAAATGCATGAAATTGATTTTAAAATTTTCCTTAGACTGGACTTGTTTGAAGAGCTGGAGATTTCCAAAGAACTTTTCAATAATGACCACTATTGAATACTCAAGTAAACTCAAACAAAGATTTTCTTTCCCTTCATAAAAGGATTATGAACCGTAATTAAATTAATTGAAATTTTATTATCAAAATACATTATTCTATATTGGCTTCTCCACAACAAGGAAATTTTCAAAACCCATAGTGGATCACTCTTCAAGTTCTTACCACTATTTTTGCTATTTGACACTTGACTTATTCACACTTGACATATTCTGTCTCAAGTTGCCCTTCTTTCATATAATACTTTGTCTAAACTACATGGTCTCAATCTATAAAATGTTTGTTTGAAGGTGATTGACAATGTTTTATGATGAATTTCACTAGGTCGGACTTCCATTGTCTGATATATAAAATGATTTGAAATCCCTGTAACAACAAAAAAAAATCGAAAATGAATAGCTGAAAATAACATTTCATCAGTTCGGACTTCCATTGTCTAATATAATATAAATTGATTTGACGACCCTGAAAAACTTAAAAAGATTAACCGAAAATGACAATTTTATTAAACAAAAAACTGAAATTACAAAGAAATAACATACAAGAAACAACCAAAGAAATAAAAATTGAAATATTGATAAAAGCTGAAAAAATTGAACAATTAAAAATATTGTTAACAAAAAATTAAAAAATAAAAATTAAACGATTTCAAATCAAGTTATGTCACGTTTCGATTGTTAGTATCCACAATCGTCTTCGGGTGATAACTGGACTTATTCCTCCGAGATCTGACTATTTATAGGTCATTCGGGTGCTTTCACCTCTTCCCTCTTTACGCTTCATTGGTTTTAACGGGAGATGAGCGTTTAGCGGGGGTTGGTCGTTTTTCGCTTGATAAGAGGTTTCCAAATGTTACGTTTCTCTACGCTAGCTTGACTAAATGTGTTGTTGGACAACATATACGCGGCTTCTTTGAATTTTCTCCTAAATCAGTGTTCCTCTTTGTGGATGATTTCAGCTTAAGCCCACTTGATGTTATGTTGATGAGTCCAAACATGCTCTGATATTCCGGATATGCTGGTTTCTCCTCGCTGTGTGTGTTTCTTGTGCTCAGCAATGCGAACTTTCAATAGCTTCTTAGTATCACCGATAAATGATTCTCCGTACTTCCAGGGTATCCGGTAAATGCAATTCTTGCAATCGCAGTCCGCGTTTGGTGGCCTGGTTTTCGTGAGGCTGCTACGGATAGTGTCCCCAGATCTGAAGCAAATCCTGATGTTATACTTGGACCCAATCCATCTTATCCTTTCCGATAATCCTCTGATGTAGGGAAGTACAAGTACTGGTTTCTCTTTCTTGTGGAGTTCTTGCTGTCTTCTAGCTAAGGCCTGTTCTACCATCGCTCTGGAGTAACCATTCCGATGAAGGTCATTTTTGATGATGCCTAGTTCTTTTTCGAGACCTTCCTTTGTATTACAGAGCCTAAAAGCACGGTCTAGAAGAGTCTTGATGATTCCTCTCTTAGTCGATTGATGGTGGTTTGGATTTCTGGTTCAGATACTGTCCTGTTTGAGTGGGTTTTCGATATAGAGATGTTTCCAATTTAGTGTCGGTCCTCTTCACCAATACATCTAAGAAAGGCAATTCGTTGTGGAGTTCCCTCTTCATTGTGAAAGTGATGGAAGGACTTACGTTGTTGATGTGCTTCAGGAAAGTGTCTAGTTCTGCATTCCCATGGTTCCATATCATGAAGGTATCGTCAACATATCTCAACCAGACTCGAGGTTTCTTGTGGGTTTCTACAATGGCCAAAGTTTCAAACCACTCCATATATACGTTGGCTATGACGGTGAAAGTAGCGATACCATTGGCAGTCCCTCATCTTGTGGAATCTAACTATAGAAGTAATTATGGAATTACTAAGATGTTGTGTACGAAACTGTTATTTCCAACTGAAGGACGAATTCTTTACACAAGATGAGGGACTGCCAATGACATCGCCACTTTCGCCAGTGATAGCCAACATATATATGGAGTGGTTTGAAACTTTGGCCATTGAAGAAGCCCACAAGAAACCTCGAGTCTGGTTGAGATTTGTTGACGACACCTTCATAATATGGAACCATGGGAATACTGAACTAGACGCCTTCCTGAAACACATAAACAGCACAATGGAGAAGGAAATCCACAACGAATTGCTATTCTTAGATGTTTTGGTGAAGAGGACCGACACTAAGTGGTAAATATCTGTATACCGAAAACCCACTCACACGGAACAGTATCTGAAGTACGAATCCAGCCACCATCAATCGACTAAAAGAGGAATCATCAAGACTCTATTAGACCGTATTTTTGGGCTCTGTAATACGAAGGAAGGTTTCGAGAGGGAACTAGACATCATCAAAAATGATCTTCAACGGAATGGTTACTCCAAGGCGATGGTAGAAAAGACTTTGGCTAAAAGACAGCAGGAGCCTCACAAGGAAGAGAAGCCGTCACAACCAGTGCTTGCACTTCCCTACATCAGAGGATTATCGTAGAGGATAAGAAGAATTGGTTCCAAGTACATTATCAGAACCTGCTTCAGATCCGCATTCAGGTTTCAGGTTCGCATTGCCGAACACAAGAAACACACACAGCGAGTGGAAACCAGTAAATCAGGAATAGCAGAGCATGTTTGGACCCATCAACACAACGTCGAGTGGTTCCAGGCTGATATCATACACAGAGAGGAACATTGGCTCAGGAGTAAATTCAAGAAAGCCGCATACATGCTGTCCAACAACGCATTCAGCCAAGGTAGCGTAGAGATACGCAACATATGGATACCCATTATCAAGCGAAAAATGGCCAACTCCCGCCAAACAGTCATCTCCCACTGAACCAGTGAAGCGGAAAAAATGGAAAGCGGGGATAAGTGAAAGTACTCGAACGAAACATAAAAAGTCATATCTCGGAGGAATCAGTCCAGTCATCACCCGAAGACGATTGTAGATACTAACAATCAAAACGTCGTGAACTAACGTGGCTTGTGATCTCTCAACTTTTTAGTTTTATTTTTTTATTTTTTGTTCAATCGTTCTATTTTTACTTGTATTTTATTTCACTAAAATTTCATTTCAGGTTATTTTTGCTTAATATAACTGTTATTTTCATCTATTTGTTTTTAATTCTTCTTTGTTTTTTAATTGTTTTAGGGATTTCAAATCATTTTATATATTAGACAATGGAAATCCGAACTAGTGAAATTCACTATAGAATGTATTGCGTTGGTTATTAGGATATTGAGTTTTATGTAAATCAAATGTTACAAATATACTATGTCCTCGTTTTTGATACTTTCTGTTGTAAGCAATTAATCATAAACAATTTTTCCCAAATTTCATAACCTCAAACAAATTAAAAAAAATTCCACAAAAACTTACTTTCAGGTGAGCACTGATGACGACGAAAGTCGAAAGGGTTTTGCAGTAATTTTATAATTATATACTTTCATACAAAACCTCTTCGATTCATTAATTACCAATTTTCGGGAAAAACTGAAATGAAATCAAATCGTAATCGTTACTAAAACTACTGAAACACTCGAGTGTAATATTTTCCGAATGAGTTTATTGTTTTCAATGAAATCTCAATCCGAATCAAGTTTACTCAACAAAGTAAATATTTTATGTACTATGTCTATTTGTTAACTTCCCATAAACAGAAACATCTGCTGACTGATGGCAATTAAAGACTTTTTTGTGTGTAGTAGACAGTATTCTCAGAGTTTTTGTCTATTATGGCTTTTTATTTTCCTTGCAAATGGAAAGCCAAAAAATAAAATCTATTTGCTGAGAACCTATCGCAGAGTTGAAAATGGATGATTATATTTATTGTAAAAGTAAACAAGAAAGTGATACAAATAATTGAATTAAAAAACAACAACAGAAATAATTGGCGCTCCGGGGCAACTTCATTGATTACAGTGGCGCATTTGCTTTTTCAACTGCAGGAAAAACCTGCAGCACCCCATCATCTGAAGATCTTGATCTGCCAATGTCCTCTCTTTCATAAAACAAAATGCAGCGTCTCTCGAAGCTCAAATATATTCAAGACATCGCCAGAACACTTAGTGACACGACTATCATCAAATTCAAACCAGTCTGTTTCGTCTTCGACCAATGCGTAATAATGACCAGATTCAACGCCAGAATCACAGTGAACAATGACTGCATGAAAATTATAATACTGGTCTGCTAAATTGAAGTGTTCATCTATTTCGACGAGTTTGGTGCTTCCGCCAGATGTTGAGTCATGTTTGAAGATCATCAGTGTTATTATTAGATTGACTGGTGCCTCAGCCATACTTGTTTTCTCATGACAGTCAGTTAGTTTGGCGCATATTTGGTAATGCAATTGAACTTCACCTGTCAAAAGTTCAATTTTCAGATGATTTAACAATAAGGTTTACACGGATTGGTTATCAGTCATATAAGAAAACGCTAGTTGAAGTTTCAGAAAGTCATATAAGTTTTTGCTACCTCTTGAACATGTACTACAAAGTAAACAAGTGAGGATTTTTCCAGCAAAAGATCTACAAACAAAAAAACGAGACTGTAGGTACAGAATTGTTCAATCCAGAGCTGTCAGGAGTATTGATTCTGCATTTTTTTTTGCTCACGAAGAGTATTCAACAAAAACACCAAGAATTCAGAACAATCCTCTTGTTGTCCCATCGATCATCTAGTGGACTTCGAAGACTCCAGAAAATCGGTTGGTGGGAAAGGTGATACATTCTTACGAAACAGCAACTGCATGAACAATTGTTTGAGTTTGGTGAATAACTAGGAAACATTCTCTTTTATCGTTGAAACCTCGTTTTTTAAATTCTTCGTCATGAACAACACTTGTAAAATGCTATTCATGTAGCAAGTGTTTCCTAAATTATCTAATCTAATTTTCTTCGCAAGATTTCCAAGACAACTGCCTACTGATTCGTAAGGAAAAACATGTTCCATAGAATCTGCATCAGAACCAATTCTAAAGCTGCAATCGATCCTTCCAAGTGATGAAGGGTTTCGTAGAGGGATCGATTCGGCTCTTGCTTCATTAAGCTCCTCCACTGAAAGGGAACCATAACCACGAGGACTGCAGCTTATATTTGGGGGGCAAGAATGACTTGAGTCCATTGACCGCACTGAAAAAGAAGAAGGTGGATCAATCATTTGTGAATTAACCTTGATAGGAGACTGATGAATATACACATATCTCGGCTTGTTTCGAAGAGATTTTAGTTCCGTACTGAAATGAGGGCAGAGCATGATCTCATCAATTATGTGGAGGAAGAATAGTTTCAAGGACAGAAGCAGCATTACCACGTTGAATAGCAATTCTTTCTATCAAAAAGGAGGTAGAACGGAAAGCTTGGCCTATTCTTCTTCCGAGTTCATGAAGGAATAACAGGCCATGAACACTTAAAGTTTCAAACACTACTGGGTGGAAAAGATAGTCGTTATCAATATTTTGGTATTTTTTTCGTTCTGATTTTTCACCAGACATTGCTGCAGTGCCAACAGACTTCGAACTTTCGGCTAGATGGGAAGCCGCGACTGTGTCAACGCAAGTCCCATACCACAGGTTTACCGTATTTCCATGGTATGAGAGACATACCATCTGGTCGTTTACCATCATCTCGACTGATACCTAAATGTTCCAGAATTGCAGGAACATCTGCTAACACCATAGCTCGTTTCGATATGTAGTTCATCTGGTGATGTCGAGATGTATGCCCTGCACTTCTCCTGCAACTCAAACAAAGCGTACCTGTCTCATCAACTACACTACCGCTGTTGAGTATGGAGAATCATATAGAACAACTGAGATATTTTTTTGGCTTTTACAGTTTTATTTTTACTATCTCAAAAACGATTGCCATATATGTGTAAACAAACTTGTAACTAACAAACTCAAATTCACATAAAATATACAGCATGTAATGAAATCACAAACGATGCTGCAACTCTCGAACTCCAACAACCGCAAACACAAGTATGAGGCACACAAATAGATTCCCTCATCCTAAGTCCTACTGCTATTCTGAAAGATTCATCGTCTAATAGTGTTCCAAGAGATGCAACAGCCAAGCACCCGATTACTTGATCATCGCTGCTTTCAGACGAGCCTTATCGTATACAGTAGATTTCAGAAATTCATCATTTATAATGGTCAGAAGAGGTCGGTCCCATGCTCTTTGTATTTTCTTTTTATCTGTAGAAAGAGCAATATCAGTTGCGGTATGCCAAAGTGATTCACCTTCAGTATAAAAAACATTTCCGATATTGATAAATATGGAAGGAAGAATGGAATCGATAGGATCAGAAACACTATTGACTGATGAGACAGAAAAACAGGTAAAGCTAGGGAAGAAGCCCAACGTAGCCCTAGTCCGCCAAGGAAGCGTTGCTTGGAGCCATGAATCATTATTGAAATGATAGTTTGTAACATTTTCAGCTATAATATCCCAAGGACATTGATAACTAACGGAATAATTTTATCACAGTTTTCGAAAGCACGTTATTTGGTAACATCCCGACGCCGAAGGCGGAGGGATGTTACCTAAAATAACGTGCTTGAGGAAGTTGNACACATGACTAGAAATAGACAAATTTGATAGGATAATTTTTTTGGCAAAAAATTTTCCGTAGTATTACGGAGTGAATTATCAAATTCATCAAGCTCTAACTGACTTGACCAAGTGGGGGGAACATCCGATGGCGTAAATGAGTTTTGGAATCGCCAAACAATTTTTCATAAGTTGAAATGCAAATTTTTTGAATTATTATTAGGAAGTTTCAATATTTGAAGTTCTGAGGAAATAATGGAAATAAATTTCAGATGAAAACTTTGCCAGCTGCTATAACCGCAAATAATGAAACCTTGAATAAAGCAAAAAATGTCATACGCAAACTGGTATCAACTGGTGTTACTAATATAATAGGAGGACTTGAGACTGCATTGCATTTGGTTAACATTAATAAAAAGGCAAATGATGGTAAAAAGGAACACCAACCAATGATAATTTTTTTGACAGATGGTCAACCAAATGTCGGCATTTATTCAACTGAAGAAATCACAAAAATTGTAAGTATCCTATCATAACTCCTTATGCTTTTTCGATCTCGGAAGACATACTGTGAATCTGGTGATACATACAGGGTGTTTCAAATTCGATCCTCACCATTGGGATGTCGAAAACTATGAGAGATACGAAGATAGTTAAACTGGAGCAAAGTTGTGCTGACTAACAATATGCCGTTGAGAAAGTTCTGAAATTCTTAGTATATCCAGAGATATCCAGAAAAAATAGAAATTTTGAAACATGTTTTTTATTTTTTCTGGCTTTTTCTTGTCTTTATTTTTCGAAAGGTTCGAAAATAAATTGTACTTCCACATTGACTCTTTTTCCCTGCCAGCATTTTGAGCATTTGTCTTGTTCAAAGTTCTATTTTCATTGAAAAGGACACAATATCCACTTTATCGATCTTTTTTGGGAATTTGTTACCTTCCACAATCTGAAAAATTTAGAAAATTATAATGGATAACTTTATACGAGTGTGGAAGGGCAAAATTTTTAGTTTACCCCGATAAGTAACATATTCCCAAAAATGGTCGATGAAAAACTGATTTTCCTCCACAAAAAAACGATTTTCGTTGAATATCTACTTTACCTCATACACAGCTCATTTATAAAATTTTGATTACGGATTCTGTATTCGTATTTATTTATTGGCTTTTCAAACGAACCAAAATCGGTAAGATTTTGATCCGATAACTTGAACATAGCTCAATGTGGTTGTCGTCTTTCGGGATACAAATTTTAATACATTTCCGATGTCCTAACACTGTTTCTATCGTGTTTGTAATGAATTTGTATCATATCTCTTTTTTCTTCATTCGTGAAAGCCATTTCTCGCCAAAAATTCAATGACTTGTACAATAGCAAAATGTCATTGAGTGTAACAAATTAAAAGTCAAATTTAGAAACTTCAAAGTCAAAGCCCATTATGATAAGAATTTTTTTTTTCAATTGTTATAACAAATAATAGTATATTTATGACATTGAAGAATTCATTTTTTTCAATATCTCCAATTTTTGGAAACAGAATGATAACTTATGATACATTATTGAAAAGGTAAAATCTGGTTCTATTCAAAACAGAAAAGTAAATCTGAAAACACCATTATTATGTAGCAGGGAAAAAGTGGAAATGTGGAAGTGCAATTCATTTTCGAATCCTTCGAAAAATAAAGCCAGAAAAAAATATAAACCACTTTCCAAAATTCCTGTTTTTTCCGGATATACTCAGAATTTCAGAACATTCTCAACGGTATATTGTTAGTGAAGTAAATACGCAACTTTGCCCCAATTTAACCATCTTCGTATCGTATACAGGGTGTAACTAAATAAGTGTAAAACATTTAAGGAGGTGATTCATCTTCGAAAAAAAGATAGAATCTTCCATATAAAGAAATTTTATTGGAGCGTTTTTCACAAGCACTGAAAAAGTTACAATATTGAAATTAACCTGACATTTTGTACTACCAAAGAGACACTTAGCCAGAAATGTATTTGGTTTACCCCATGGTTGTAAGGGGTTAAAAACGCAACCCCTAAAATTTATTTCCAATGTAACTTTTTGTCTTCTTATTTGTTTACCATTTAAAAATGTATTTCCGATAGCCTGTTTCATTCTGAACAAATAAAATCTCCTGTGTTTTTTGCCCAAAATAAACCAGTTCGCAGCAAAAAATTATTTTAGGAACAACTACAGAGATACATCGTCATAAATGCGAAAATACGAAACTGATCTAAATATTTAACAGGTAGCTATTAGCGATAGTGACAATTAAATTGGTATGACGCTGTCAGTTTGTGAATTTTCGAAATTGAATTGATGCTAATTGTATGTTGTTGTTCTGTTCTCAATTTGTGACTTTAATAATTCACTTGTTATTAAAATAGCATACACAAATGAGGAATGGGGAATAGGTTAGAAGCTTCTAGAAGATATGCCGAAAAGTATCATCAACGGCAGCATCCTTCACATAGAATATTTGCTCGACTTCATCAACAATTACGAGAATATGGTTCATTTGACAAAAGAACGCAGGATTGTGGTCGCCATCGAGAAGTACGAACACCACAGCTTGAGATTTAATTTGATTGAAGAACAACCTACCACCAGTACTAGAAAGATTGCTTTCCAGCTAAATGTTGATCATGTTTACCGCGAGACTTTCGGAACCGTCTTGAATTTTGCAACTGGATGCTGGAAATGATTGAAAGAAATTGTGACTTTCTGAAGACGATAGAATTCACAGACGAATGTAGTTTTTCTCGGGACAAGATTATTAATTTTCATAATTATCACATATGGGCTGATGGAAACCCTCACGGTATTGTCGAAACTAACCATCAATAACAGTTTTCTCTTAACGTGTGGCTCGAAGTTATTGGGGATGATTCAATTGGGCCTCATTTTCTACCTCCTCGATTAAATGGTGGGGCATACGTTTAATTTTTAAGAGAAGTGCATCCAGTACTGCTGTAGGAAGTTCCTTTGGGCGTCAGAAGGGATATGTTTTTTATGCATGATGAGGCTCCCGCTCATTTTAGTCAAGTAGTACGTCAGCATTCAACTGAAACATATGCAAATCAGTGGGTAGGTCAAGGAGGACCACAAAACTGGCCCGCTCGATCCCCGGATCTCAATTCTCTCGATTTCTCTATTTGGGGCCATTTACAGCATTTGGTTTATCGTACTCCTGTTCGCGATGTAGAGGACTAAAGAAATCGCATCATCGATGCATGCAGGAATATTTGAGCGAATACGTGGCTCAATGCGCCGACATCTAGACGCATGCGAAATGTGAAGGTAAACACATTTACTATGATTTCTACATGTTGTGTATTTTGTTATTGATAAATTAGTTTTGTTTATTACCCTTCAATTGTTTAATGCAGGTACTAAATACAAAATAACAATAAATCCAGTTCGCATTTATGACGATGTATTTCTGTAGTTGTTCGTAAAATAATTTTTTGGTGCGAACTGGTCCATTTTGGGCAAAAAACTAAGAGACATTTTTTGTTTAGAATGAAACAGGCTATCGGAAAAACATGTTTAAATGGTTAACAAATAATAAAAGTTACATTGGAAATGAATTTTAGGGGTTGCGTTTTCCACCCCTCACAACCATGGAGTAAACCAAATAAATTACTGGCTAAGTGTCTTTTTGGTAGTACAAAACGTCAGGTTAATTTCAATATTGTAACTTTTTCAGTGCTTGTGAAAAAAATGGTTATACAAATTTTATGTACCCTTTTCAAGGGGCTGTATCCTAACAAGGGATGCTCCAATGAAGTATCTTTATATGGAAGATCCTATCTTTTTTTCGATGAGGAATCACCTCCTCAAATGTTTTATACTTATTCAGCTACACACTGTAGTTTCCGAGATCCCAATGGTGAGGATCGAATTTGAAACACCCTGTATAAGTATATTAAAAATGATACAATAAATATTATTTCATTCACAGGTTACGCGTTTGAATTCGCAAAACGAGAAAGTTCCGATATTTTCCCTATCTTTTGGAAATGGTGCTGATAAATCGTTCCTAAGATCGTTATCTTCGAAAAATTCTGGCTTCTCAAGACACATATATGAGGCATCAGATGCATCACTACAATTACAGGCGTTTTATAAAGTTATATCTTCCCCGCTGTTGTCAAACGTTGTATTCAAATATGATGATAAAGTAGAAGAGGTAACTAAAACTCGTCTGCCAATTTTCTTCAGAGGATCTGAATTTGTTGTGGCTGGACGATATAACGGTAAAAAAACTCTTTTTGTTTTCACCACATAATAATCTAATCAAGTTCAAAAACATGAAAAATAGAGATGAAGGTACTAAAAATATGAGCGATAGCTCATTCGATTCGGAATCACCTCTAGAAAAATGTTTTTGAAGGATTTTGGTGAAAAATTGCAATTGTTACTAACGAAATAAAATAAAAAAATTGTATTTAGTTTTTCGTTAATTACTCAAAAAATATGAATAATTAAGCAATTTTGAAAAAAGCTCGTTAAAGAGAATGGAATTTCCGATAAAAAAGTTCCGATTCCCGGAACTCTGTCTCCATTATTTATAATTTTAATTTGACTTTGAAAATAGGGTTCCACGCGGCTGTTATGGCATGCTCCACGAAGTTTAAAATTTATAGGCCAATTATTTATACCTTTTATTCCATTATTTATGCCAACGGAGATTGGGAAAAAAATTGTTGGTTAACAATTGAATAACCATTTGAAAAATGGTGATGAAACTTTTTTTTTCTACGGGACTCGATTCATTCAAGTGTTAAGAAGATACTAGATTTTTTCAAATTTTCAAAATGACATTTTATGTTATAAAAAAATTATTTCTTTTGATAAACTCTCTTCAGCGACATCGCGCGCATGTCGTAACAGCCGCGCTGAACCCTATTTTCAACGTCAAATTAAAATTATAAATAATGGAGATAGAGTTTCGGAAATCAGGACTTTTTTATCGGAAATTCTCTCCTCTTTAACGAGCTTTTTCAAAATTGCTTAAATATTGATATTTTTTGAGTTGATAACGAAAAACTAAATACCTATTTTTTAAATTTTATTTTGTTAATAACAATTGCAATTTTTTATCTGCACCAAAATCCTTTAAAAACATTTTTCTAGAGGTGATTCCGAATCAAATGAGCTGTCGCTCATATTTTTAGGACTTTTATCTCTATTTTTCATGTTTTTGAACTTGTTGATTAGACTATAATACAAGTTCTATTTTAGGGCATCATCTTCCGATTGAAGTAACTGCTCGTGGTTGGAAGGGCCCCATTACCTTAACCCCCGCAACCTCAAGTCCCGTCACTTCATTGGAGCGACTATGGGCTTATTTGACACTGAAACAAAAATTAGAAGAAAGAGAAACGGCTGATGACAAAACTTTACTCACAAAGAAAGCTCTTGATTTGGCACTAAAATATTCATTTGTGACAGAAGTAAGTTCCCTGGTTGTGGTCAAACCCAATGACACAAGTGCTGTTGATACCGAAGACGCATCAAGTGAGTAATTTTTCAAAACATCAGAGTATATTAATTTGTGACTGATTTGTCTTCGGGAGGTTAAGTTATTCCATGAAAGAACTTTAAATGTCTATGAATGAATGTAACTGAATTCTTGGCAGTTGAACAGTGTATGTGAAGAAGAAGTGAAATTTGTAATTTTCATTTTTTTAAGACAAAACACAAGCACTACGTCTACCTCAGAGCGGTGCCTGTGCGAAAGTGGCGATTCACATAAACATTATAACAAAAAATTGTTTACAAATTCGATGAATTAATTGACCTCGGTTTTTTCCAATTGCCAAGTGATGAAATGTCCATCAGAAGAAATAAACTGATAACCTCTTCTCAGATATGCTATCTATTTTTTGATAGTTTCTCAATAACCAGTTCATGAATGTGGAAAATATTATCAAGTCTCTTCTAACACCACCCAATGGAAAATAAGGCGGACTCTCTACCCTGGAGACAAGACTGCGGCTAACCAAGTTAAATAGGCCATCACTGACTACAGAAACGAGAGGTGGAGCGAGTGTTTGGAATCTCGAGAAGAGAAAAACCTCTCCCTCCCCTCTTCACGGATAGCGTGGCATCTGCTACTCCCCTGCCGAGGAGGCGTTGACCTTTGCAGACACAATTGAGAGTCAGTTCCAACTTAACGTTGATCCGGATGATGATATTGACCGTGATATCCGGCTGGAACACCGGGTTTGGCGCATCCTTAGGGAAAATGATGACGACGTGATCCGTCCAGCTTCAGAGGAAGAACTGAGGGGGTACATTAGGGCCTCCAAACCCAAGAAGGCTCCGGGAATTGATTCAATCAACAACAGGCTATTGAAGCAGCTCCCAGAGAACTTCATCAGATACCTATTGGACATAATCGATAGTTCAATCGGCCTCAGATACTTTCCCCGAAGATGGAAGCATACCGTAGTTGTCATGATTCCGAAACAGGGCCAGAACCCGATATATCCCCAGAATCATCGTCCGATTAATCTGCTTTGCTCAACGGCTAAGTTGAACAATTCGGCTTCAGGAAGGCACACTCCACCGAGCTGCAGGCCCTGAGACTGATCAAAAATTCCATCTCTGATAGGAAGACAGTCCATCTCGTCCTCCTGGACATCGAAAGCCTTTGACAGAGTATGAAGGTCTACTACACAAAATGCTCGATTACCATCTGCCTCGGGGCCGGTGGATTAGGTCCTTTCTGAAAGGCAGAACATTTCAGGTCCGAGTTAAAGGAACCCTGTCTCCCGTCAGGGAAATCCAAGCTGGAGTGCCTCAAGGAGCTGTGCTGTCTCCACTATTGTACAGCCTTTACATGAACGGCCTTCCGAGTTTCGATCATGTGATGATACGGCTCTCCTAGCGTCTCCATGGGTCGAGGGTTGACGGTCGTATACATACAATTGGCATTGGACGACCTCGAACGCTGGTACCTGGAATGAAAGATGAATCAAAAACTCAGGCGATAGATTTGGGGAGACGTAACGTTTCTCCAGACACAAGACTCACGATTTCAGACAGGGAAATCGAATGACAAACGCGAGTCAAATACCTAGGTCTTTGGGTAGACCGCCGACTCACCTGGGTAAATCACATCGATTATATTAAGAGCAAAGTACAAATGAGGATAGTCAAACTCTATCCTTTGATCAACAGAAATTACAAGCTCAATCTTAAAAATAAGATTTTATTATACAATATGATGTTCAAGCCTGTCATTATGTATGCTTCAGGCGCTTGGGGACAAACCGCTCCATCAAACCTCTCCATTTTGGAAAGGTTGCAAAAAACACTAATCAGGATACTGGTGCATGCTCCATGGTTCGTGAGGAATGAAGCCATTCGCAGAGATTTGAAGCTGTTAACTATATGTCAGTCCATTCAGTCAAGGAATCAGAGAGTTTTCGAGTCATCGGAAACTCATGATAACACATTAGTTTGGGAAGCTGTAGATTACACTATAGACGACCCCACTCGATTCAGAAGGCCCCGTCGTTCGGTTGAGTGAAGGCCCCACGACATCTGTTAAAATGAACAGTTTGTTCATCTAATACCTCAATCAGGAAGGGGTACACAAGGCCAGAGCGGCATCGAGGTCATTGATCTTTATGACCAAAAACATCTTCAGTTATGAACCACTCGCCCTCCTGACGAAAGACAGTTGAAAGGGTAAAGGAGAATTTTCCAACCTGAAGAAAATGAAGATGACAAACATAATGATAAATAACGTAATTTAAAAAATTTTACATCTCCCTCTAATTCCTTTTCCATAGGCCTTGGGTTCGAGTGTTTTGTGACGCAAACTGACTCAAAAGAGACAGTATCAGGTACCTAATGGTTTTACTTCAGCTTTCTACGCGACATTAGCTGGATTAGTTGTTGTCTTTCCGTCGGGTACTTACAAAATCGTAGGTCCACATGAGAGGCAAGGGTTAAGGTGTTTTTCACCTGAACTTTGGGCATGTAATGCACTTCTCCGGAATGTCATCATTATTCTGACTCCAACCCCGGAGTGTTTGTGGAGTTGGTTCCTGGCTTTGTCTGCAGGTGGCGCAGTAGGCATCCTACCGAATCAACTGTAGAAACAGTTTGTGACTAGCTGGAAGTGATTTTGTTCGGTCGGGACACTCGGTTCACTCCGTCTGTGTATCCCTTATGCAGGAACTAACTTGGGAGGAATCTTCCTAATAGAAGACGTTGCACAGGTGCGTGATGGTTTTACTTCAGCTTTCTGCGCGGTATTTTCTTGGTTAGTTGTTGTCTTTCCGTCGAGTATCTGCCATACGTATCTACAAAATCGTAGGTTCACATGAGAGACAAGGGACATGAGAAATTCGATTTCATTGACATTCAGAATACCGTTTCCATTCGAATTAATTTCTTTACGCCAGTTTACGGCATGCGAATCTGAATTGGAATAGTATTCCAGAAAGCTATTTCGCGATGTCTTGAGGTACACAAAATTGAACCTTCCAAATGGAAATTTTCATACACATTACCAGTGGACAATGAAGGAGAACATTGAAATAATATATGTGACCTCACGGAAACTACTCGGGAAAGTATTGATCTGCAAAAACCAGTAATTCGATAATAACTGAACCGTTGAATTATTTGTCCTTTCATAAAAGGTCAATAACTACTCAAATACAAAAAAAACTCCGATTGTTTGACAATAATATGCAGAAATCAGTCTTCAACAACTACGTGTATCTAATGCAACGTTTTTTGCTTGGTCCGGGCATCACCAGACATTACGATTTGACGCTTTGAGTCCAGAATTTGAATTCGTTTTCAGAAAGGATGATAACTCGGACGCCAGATATTTATGATGGGCTTTACTAATTTGTTGGTCGAAGCAGAAGGAAGTCTCAGGGTAGCAGTAGATACCTGGATAGATTCAGTACGCTGATACTGTTCAGTATGCTTTAATTACCATTGTTCCGGTGAAAACAATAATGACTACCTAAAAATCTTTCCCTTAGGAATTTTTTTCTGCATACTTTTTGACTAAAAGTAGATAGTTATCAACAGGATTTCGACATCCAAAGTCTATCACTGCCAATGAGCAGATTTGGTTGCTAAAATAGTAAGACAAATAACAAATTGAAATGGAAGGTCTTCAGAAAAAAATCAAAATAAGTTCACTTTTGCTGGTGATTAGTTCACATATATATTTGATGAAGTAGATAGTAATAGTCTGAGAATGAATTTTGAGGGTGATGATGACATATCAATCGCAAAGGAAACTAAATGCGTGAATGGTTGCACAACCTGTTCTTTGTTTGGGAAAGAAAGTTTTTGGCTTTCTACTACTCCATCTTGATACAAAAAATGTGGGAATTTTCAAAAGAAAGGAGGGAAGTTCTTTGTGTTCAAAATATGTTGATATGACACAATTTCTGTTACTATTTTTTATAGTGAGCTTTTGAAATTTGAGTTTCGTATCTTTGTTATCAATCATTGATTTTGTATAAAATTTTGAACACAGCAAGTACCCCTTGTATGCCTTTCGTTATTTGACAATTGAAAAAAATAATCAGAATTAGATATAGATGTTTTCATTTTTGAAAATTTGTAACAGTGTGCATAGGAAATTATACTATGATTTGAATGCTGACATTGTCAGCAGCGGAATTATACAGTTCTTTGACACACTTCAGGAGGTGATTCCTCACAATATTCTAATATGAATTGTCCAAATAAATAAATGTCCGAAAACGCTTCGTTTCCAAGATACAGGATGTTGAAGTTTTATTTTTATTTTCGTTTTTTTCAAATAACTTTTGAAATACTGAACTTAATTGAGGTTTTTGGAGGTTTTTGAGGTGTCGAATTCGAACCTGATGTTCTTATTGCTCTTACTCGTGGGGGGCGCCATGTACACATCTTTTTCTTTTTTAAAGATTCATAACTTTTTTGGGCGTACTTCTAGCACATTTTTCAGTAAAAAAATCGATTCTCCTATCATATCTACGTAAATAAGCTACCCTTGTTAATAGTCGCTGTAAGCAACCGTTTTCTAAATATTTGGACTTGAAAACTTCAAGTCGATTATTTGATAATCGATGCATGTTGAAGTTATTACGAATATTTTGCACTTTTCACAAGAATGTTTTGGAAATAAATTTAACGTTTGTGAGTAGTTTTGGCAAGTACATATTTTGTGACAGTTAGACGTTTTGTTGAAGTTTCCGTAAGTAGAAGTAGAAAACACTCATTTTAAAAAAATGCATTAGTTAAACAATAATGCTCATTTAGCCGATATGCATTTCGTTTATGGCCTTGCGGATGGCAATGCGCGCGAAGCAAGACGTATTTACCAGGAGTGATTTCCTAATCGAGTACTGCCTTCAGCTCCAACATTTGCTAGTCTCTACCGTCGTTTGGCAGAAACAGGTAGCTTTAAGAGGGCAGCTGATATTATTGGAAGACCACGAGTAGTCCGAACCCCAGCACTGGAAGAAGCTGTTTTGAACGCTCTCGAGGAGAATCCAGAAACAAGCACAAGAGTAATTGCTGAAGCTGTCAATTTAACTCAGTCTACAGTTTGGAGAATTATCCACGATCAACATTTTTATCCATACCATATTTGAAGGGTTCAAACTCTTTTGCCACGAGACTTTCCCCAACGCATTACTATGTGTCAATGGTTTTTGAGAAAATTGGCTAGAAATCTTCAATATTTAAGATATGTACTCTTCACGGATGAGGCAAACTTCTCCCGAAATGCTATCACAAACTTTCATAACAACCATGTTTGGCCTCTCGAAAATCCGCACGCAGTTAGTGAAAGGCATTATCAGTATCAATTTTCTGTGAATGTATGGGCGGCAATAATTGATAAATACTTGAGAGGTCCTTTCTTTCTTCCGCTCCGACTGAATGACGCAACTTACAGACACTTTTTAGAAAATGAATTGCTGGGACTACTTCAGAATGTACCATTAGAAATTCGTATCCGCATGTGGTTTATGCATGCTGGGGCTCTGGCCCATTTTAGCGTTATAGCCAGGGAATTCCTCAACACAGTCTATCCAAATCGATGGATCGGTAGGGGTGTAGAAGAACCTAACCAGGCGTGGGCACAAAGTCTCTAGATCTAAACCCGATAGATTTTTATTTTTAGGGACATTTGAAGTCATTAGTTTATAAGACTCCAGTAGTGAACGAGGAAGATCTAAGAAATCGAATAGTAGACGCCTGTGAAACAATAAGAAACACACCAATAATTTTTGAGCGGGTACGAGATTCAATGACTAGACGACTGACTGCCTGTATCTTCGCTGAAGGTGGACACTTCCAACAAGTTATTTGAATACAATTTAGTTTCGTTTATTTTAGTTTATGCTACATATTCAAAATTTCCTGAAATAAAATGTTGACATTTCTTGCAAATTTCATTAAAACAAATACTGATTATGCACCCTTGATACAAAAATAACTATTTCGCTTAAGGATGTCATAAAGAAACGTACCCAACAGTAATGACCTCTTCAAACGAGTAAAACGTCAAATTCATTTCCAAAGCATCCTTGTGAAAAAAGAAAAATATTCGTAATAACTTCAACATGCATCGATTATCAAATAATCGACTTGAAGTTTTCAAGTCCAAATATTTAGAAAACGGTTGCTTACAGCGACTAGTAACAAGGGTAGCTTATTTACGTAGATATGATAGAGGAATCGATTTTTTTACTGAAAAATGTGCTAGAAGTACGCCCAAAAAAGTTATGAATCTTTAAAAAATAAAAATACGTGTACATGGCGCCCCCCACGAGTAAGAGCAATAAGAACATCAGGTTCGAATTCGACACCTCAAAAACCTCCTATTACCAAGTTTCGCTTAATCAAGTTCAAAAGTTATTTGTAAAAAACGAAAATAAAAATAAAACTTCAACATCCTGTATTTCGGAAACGAAGCGTTTTCGGACATTTATTTATTTGGACAATTCATATTCGAATATTGTGAGGAATTACCTCCTGAAGTTTGTCAAAGTACTTTTGAATCACCCTGTATGTAGTGATGACAATAAACGAATATTTTTTAATAAAAATGAGATTGTTATCAATTCAGTATTGACAAAGAAATATTTTTGTTTCAAATCATATTTCAAGTTCGGTATTGTCTATGTCGTATATCATATGATTCGAATTGCCATAGTCATGGAAGTTTCAATTGAGTTGGTTGAGACCAGATCTCAGAGCGAAATTGTTCCCAGATCAATATTCCACTTGATAATTGTCATTTTATTTTGAGAGTTCCCACTAGGTTCGAGTCTGGTGGCCACTTAAGAAACTCATTTTTTGATATTAGATTCGAAAATGGAACTTATAAACAACAATGATCTATTCCGGAATTGTGAATTTTTCATCTTTTGTATCATAAACAAATTGGCTAGGCACTGCTTTAATCGTTTGTGTATGATAAGTACGAAATAAAAGTTGTTTTTTTTTCAGATATACCGAGACCTTATGATGACTACGATTCACCAGTGTTATCATTTTCCGGATCGTCTAATCGTATGTACATTAAGTCATTTATTTTAACATTATACGACCTCGCCCAAGAAGTATTGATAATTTACTGAGGATACACTACAGAAACACCCTTTTGTTTATTTTCCACGCTATTTCTTTATTGTGACTAGTTTCGGCTAGTCTTCTTCGGTAATATTATATAATTCTTCTTTACCTTCTCGTCAAATTTTGTTGGCAGGCATGTTAGGCGTACACATTCTCGAACAATCAGTCCGCCCTTTCGTAAATATTTCATACAAAGTTTTTTTCAAAAAGAAAATTTGCCCTTGTTCTTGTCTATATTTAGTTATTTTTTCTGAGTATTTGTTACGCAATTCCAATATTATTCTGCTTTCCATAACTTCTTGACGTTTGTTCATTATTTCAAATCTAAATCCTAGTTTCTTCATCCAATTCTAAAGAGTTTTATCACAGCAGCTCACGTTATGGCCGGAAGTAATAGCCGTATATTGTTTTTTTCAATTATTTTATCAGATGAACATGAAGGTTTTGGTAATCCTGTAGCACATCGCGTCTTGCGTTGTAAGGTTTGTTTTTGACGTATTTAACGTACAGTTAAGAAAGGAATTTCGGTCGAATCTGATGTTGTTTGTTTCCCTCGAAACCAAACTTGAGATTCCCCGTATTGGATTTTTTAGCCTTCGAGAGTGTCGCCAAATTTAAGTATGCACAATATCGTTTACTTCGACTATACATATACGTATATTCGTACACATCAGTAAAAATATGTCGGTAGGTATTAGTCATTTTTTATAAGCTGTTTTTGTCTATTGTGAAATTTTGAGTCCTTGCACACACGTCGATCTTAAAATTTTTGTATATTCATCACAAAAATGTTTGCTACAAAGGCTATGAATAGTATATCAGGAGATGTTTATTCGATTGCGGCCTAAGGGGTGGGTAATACTGAAATAATAAAAAAAATTGGGTTACGTACAGCCATAGAACCTTTTAGCCAATTTCATTTTCGGATGCAGACATTTTGAGTAGAACTAGAAAGAATATTACTGGAGTTTTTTTTTTCTCAACACCAAATCGTTATTTTTAACACCTCGACACGTGTTTCGACCACCAAGTGATCATCTTCAAGAGGGAGATTGAAACTAGAAACTAATGCGAGCTAACCCTATTAATGCTATAAAGGTAACCCATACAGGTAAACCATCCAGGTGTACCACCCATACAGGTATACCAACCTGAATTAATTTCATAAATTTGCCTTATCTATTATTTTACAATATATGTTTATATAAAACAATTCTCAGCTATATAAAAATTAATTTGACAATATTGCCTATCTAAATTTATTTTTGCATTTTTGCAATGTGTCCTTGTGTAGTAATCAGTAAACCCAACAATATTATTTTTTTTCAACAAGCTATATAGTCTCTTTGGTGTAGGTCCGTCATCGTTATTCATAATATTATTGTGTTTACTTATTTCTACACTCACATAGGCATCTAGTTGGCTGTTGTTACTAACTTGTCTAACTAATCTTAATGAACTGAAGTCTATGGAATGGTTTTGTTGCAAAACATGATGGGCGACTGCTGATTTTACAGGTCTTCCATATTTTAAGTGTGCTTTGTGTTCCTTATATCTTACTTCAATAGATATTTTTGTCTATCCATAATATTTTGCATCGCAGTCCTTAAATTCAATTTCGTAAATTCCAGACTTTTACGAATTCTCGACTTTGTCTTTTGGACCAACCAAAAGGATCTGTAGTGTATGACTTGTTTTAAAAACGACCTTCATACCTAGTTCCTTGAAAATCTTTCCAAAGTTCTTCGTATATTGGTGGTATGGAACTGAGTTGTATCTATCTTGATTTTTGTCCTTTCTGAAAGTCGAGATTTCGTTCATTCTTAACCTAAACTTCTTCTTCCTTATGATGTCATCTACAATACCCCTCGAGAAACCATTAGTGGCTGCTATTTCCTGTATTGTACGTCTTTCTTTTGTGAACCTATCATGTGTTAGAGGAAAAGTCAAAAGACGATGTACTAAAACATTTCATATTTCAACCTTTTGAACAACGGTTTAAAATTTGGCATCACGCCTTCTGAGAAAGTTCTTGAGGATATCGTTGCTATTGTTGAAAGTTCGATTCAATATATGCCCGATTCCTCGAAGGGACTACTTCAAGAAAAGGTCAGGAATCAAATCCCCAAGAACAAGATAACAGATAAACGGAAGCATTCAATGAACAACAATAAAAACCAAAAGAAACTCATCAAACTATTGGGAGAAAAGGACGTTTTTATTTGAAACCCGACAAAGGTAACAAAGTAGTAATTCTGGATAAATCGGACTACTACGAAAGGGTCAATACTCTCATTAGTAACGGACCGTATGCGAAATTGTCCAGGAACACGTTACCAAAGGTGATTGCCGAAGTAAAAGACGTTCTCAAGAGATGCGACGACATACTTACCCCTCAACTGAAACGGAAGTTACAAGTTTCCAACCCAATGGTGTCGAAACTATATTGCCTCCCAAAAATCTACAAACCGGGAAAATCAATGCGCCCCATCGTGTCAGCTATTGGAGCTCCCACCTACCAAATAGCAAAGTGGATCACTAAGGAATTTGAAACCTTGTCTATTGCGGAGCCAAGTTTTAGTATAAAAAACTATTTAGACTCCATACAACATACAAAAAACGTGGTTCTGCAAGAAGGTGAGATTTTGGTTTCTTTTGATGTTAGTTCCTTATTTCCTAGCGTCCCAATTCCACAGACCTTGCAATACCTTAGAGAATTACTAGAGAAACATAACTTCAATAATAATAAAATCGATGAATTCGTTTCTCTTACTAATTTGTGTATGAAACAAAATCGGTTCCAGGTAGAAGGCTGCTTTTATGAACAACAGGAAGGAACGGCCATGGGAAACCCCTTGTCTCCCTTCCTGGCAAACCTGTTCATGAGCAGATTCGAAATGGAAACCAAAGAAAAGTCGAAGTATTTCCCTAGGATTTGGCTAAGGTATGTGGATGATATTTTCGCGATATTCGATACCAAAAAATCGAATATTGACGACTTTGTTTCCATTTTTAATAATAGATTTCCATCAATTAAATTCACGTATGAGTTGGAAAATAAGGGACAACTACCATTTCTTGACATTTTGGTAATAAGGAGCCAATATGGAGGGTTAGAATACGATATATTTAGAAAAGAAACAAGCACGTACAGGTATATTCCTAACAGTTCAAATCACTGTGGACAGCACAAACGTGCTGGGTTGAATTTTTTCTTTTGACTTTCCTTCTAACACATGATAGGTTCACAAAAGAAAGACGTACAATACAGGAAATAGCAGCCACTAACGGTTTCTTGAGGGGTATTGTAAATGACATAATAAGGAAGAAGAGGTTTAGGTTAAGAATGAACGAAATCTGGAATTTCAGAAAGTACAAAAACCAAGATAAATACATCCCAGTTTCATACCACCAATATACGAGGAACTTTGGAAAGATTTCCAAGGAACTAGGTATGAAGGTAGTTTTTAAAACAAGTCATAGACTACAGAGCCTTTTGGGAAGTCCAAAAGACAAAGTCGAGAATTCGGAAAAGTCTGGAATTTACGAAATTTAATGTGAGGACTGCGATGCGAAATATTATGGACAGGCAAAAAGATCTATTGAAGTAAGATATAAGGAACACATAGCACACTTAAAATATAAAAGACCTGAAAAATCAGCAGTCGCCCATCATATTTCGCAACAAAACCATTCCATAGACTTCAGTTCATTAAGATTAGTTAGACAAGTTAACAACATGCAACTAGATGCCTATGAGAGTGTAGAAATAAGTAAACATAATAATATTATGAATAACGATGACGGACCTATACCAAAGAGCATACTATATAGCTTGTTAAAATAAAATATTATTGTTGGGTTTACTGATTACTACATAAGGACACATTGCAAAAATAAATTTGGATAGGTAATATTGTGAAATAAATTTTTATATAGCTGAAAATTGTTTTACATAAACATATATTGTAAAATAATAGATAAGGCAAATTTGTAAAATTAATTTAGGTTGGTATACCTGTATGGGTGGTACACCTGAATGGTTTACTTGTATGGGATATCTATATCACAGACCATATACCCTAGACGGTTCACGGCAATGCTACACAACAGAGACGGAAAAAAGCGCCATCTGAAGATTTGTATCAGTACCATTGTGACGGACGCGGGATATTCGAATGTTGTATATAGTTGGAATATTCATTTTATTCAAATGTTTTTTGGAAATTTCAGTGTATTGTTTGGTCTCAAACTACACTTTATATTGAGTGTTGTGTAGACTTTAAACAATAAACTGAAATTTCCAAAACCAATGTAAAAATTATAGTTAGAACAAATTCTTAACCACTGCTTCATGTTGCAGGACAATGAGGTTTAAAAAAAACAGCTGAATTATTATAGATTTTTCATTCAGAACATTTCAACATTGAACATTTTGTGTGATTATATGTTCAGATTGCTTAGAATTCATTTTCTTTATTCTGTTCAAACAAATTTTATTGGTTTGTAATTCAATTACATTTGTACCTGTATACAGTTTCGATTTTCCCTGTATAATTTGATTTATACGCTTGCACCAATTATGTGTGATAGTTGTTATGGTGAATTTTTCAGAAGAATCCTTGAATTCTGTAATGATTTAAAAAATACATCTATCAGAAATTATGCCCCCCCCCATAATTTCTGATAGAAGCCTGGTCATTGTAGATTTACTGGGTGAAGTGAAAATTTTTGAAAGAACTGAGTAAGACTTAACGCTTTGTTTGTATAGGATCAAAGCCAACAATTTTTCATCAAGTGTAAACCGTCTAAGTTTTCTTGATTTTTTGGATTCCCGCAGCTGACATTGAATAAATATAGATGCCATACTGTTTGATTTGGCAACATTTTCTTCGAGGTAATGTGCTCTTTTAAATTGTTCAGCTTCAGACAATCTACGCCGGTTTGATTTTTTTTGTTTCTTTCCATGGTATACTTTTTACGCAATTGTTGCAGTGCCTCATACATTTTTTTTTGGTGTCATTGTATGCTTTGCAATCCCAGTTGATATCAGTAACTGATATGGTGACAATAGTGCACTGCCTGCATTACCTAAAAAAGAGGTCAAATTTTATTAATTCAAAAATAATGTTATAACAATAATGTTATAACGCTAATGTTATACTAAAACTACATTAAAATAATTCTATCGAGGTGAAAAAGGTGCACTACGGCTATGCGCTAATTTTATACCAAGAGCTATTATCCAATGAACTCAGATTTCACGCATCAATTTTGGCAATATGGATATGAAATTTTTGACAGAACTCATGTATCTCTATCCTTTAAAATGCAGAGTGTTAAAAAAAGAAAGTAATACACCGACTCTGCACGAGTTCTACCAAAAGAATTCGATATATGTCTGTATGTTTATATTCATTACCTTTAATACTGTGAGAAGATTCGTTCAATTCTGGAATATCAATGACTAACTCGTTAAATTGAGTACTTTGTTGATCAGAACTATTTGAAGACTTAGATGTTGATATCATATACATCATTTGGGCCTGTTGAACCTATAAAAAAGTCTCTTTCATTTAAGTTTCACGAATTAAAATTTCAACTCACCAGGAAGATTCAGAGTTGGAACAGCGTTCCCAAATAACTTGTGAGACCAAGCAGAAATGTATTTTGCCTCAAAATGACTATCACACAGCCTTCTAGAAACGTAAACTTCTTTTGGGTCCATTTCCATCAGTTCCAAGTTATCAATTACCAGTATCCATTTCTTGAACCTATTTATATCTTTATCTGGATTAGGGAACGCATGTCATACTAGATATACTTTTGCAATAAGGAACGCAACATTTGTTGTGGTAAACCATTGTAAAACAATCAAAATAACGAAATAAATAATCACTAGGGTACACAGTCAGACAACATCACAGACCAACAACACATGAGTGACATGAGTCACATAACCATGTTTTAATATATTATGTTCTTCTTCTTCTTATTTTTGACATATATCACAAACACAAGAATATATGTGGGTCCGTGACATAAAACCAAAGAACAAATTTACAGTGCCATCTTAAGATTTGTATCGGTACTAAAAAAGGGATTCAAGGTGAAGTAACCTACGTGAACCGTCTAGGGTATATGATCTGTGATCTATATAGCATAAATAGGGTTAGCTTTCCATTAGTTTCTAGTTTAAATCTTCCTCTTTGAAGATGATCACCAAGTGATCATCTTCTTAGTAATATTCATTACTACACCAAAGGTTCCAAACAGTGCATCATAAGAACTATAAAGAATATGATGAGAGCTCTCCGAAAAGTGTTTCGTACTTATTTGAAGAGAATTTTCACAAATTGTAATTATATTCTTGATATTACGCTTGTTCGGCGAAATATCTATACGGTAATTGTTGTTAATAATTTTGCAAATTGAGTTGTCATCTTCAAATGACGCATTTTTCAACAATTTTCAACTGGAATTACCAAAGAATAATCACAATCTGAATTTTCTTGGGAAAGGAGAATGATATAAAAATCTTCATTGTTGACATTTGAGGTTATAATTTCTCTATCATACAAACTATTTTATTGCAGTGTATTCTTTAAGGAGCTTCAGTGCCTCTCCTCAAAGGTCATTCATTTCTGGAAGGCGTTACTATTCAGGTGAATATTTTGATATATTTTTAATAAATCATCTGAATTGTTCACTAAAATAATTTTACAATATATTGACGCGTGTTTCGCTAATCAAATTAGCATTATCAGAAGACGACTGACATGAGTTTCATCTGATGAAGCTCACTTGGTTAGTGGAAGGTGCGTCGAACACTATTTTGTTCTGGTGACAAAAAAATATTTCAACACATTCATTTTTTCCAGAGTTTCTAATTCCATTCATTCAACTCCACCTATTATATGAATTTTTCATTTTGTAATTCATGACGGTTGCCAAACCAATGATGTTATATGCATTAACAATTATTATACCTAATACCTAACCATTTCAGTTTTCGGGACATCTCACATTCATTGACACCTACATTATTTTTTCTCGGGTATTATAAGTAAATTAGTTTAGAGGGTTTCTAATTATTGAAGCGGATGTGTTTTGCATCCGGCATAGTTCATTTGGGATTGTAGTTGAATATATGAATCAGTATTGAATGAAAAATACATTTGCGGAGGCTCAGTTTTCAGTATTGTTGAGATACTTCTTCCTAGTTCGGCCTTTCACTTTTTCAGCTATCCATTTATATTTTAATAAATACTGCCTACTTCAAAAATCAGATTCAAAGATTTGCCCCTCGATTCATGGGATCTTTCCATCAAGACGCCCAGGAATTCCTTCGATATTTCTTAGAAGGTTTACATGAGGACCTTAATGGAATTACTGAGAAACCTAAACCGATCTTAACGGAGATTGACAAAAAATTGAGCGACAGCGGAAAAGCGCAAGAGTCCTGGCTGAGATACATGAATATGAACAACTCTAAGATTGTAGACGATTTCGTTGGTCAATTAAAATCTACTATGAAGTGCACGCACTGTGGATTCTCATCAGTAACCTTCGATCCTTTCTGGGTTTTGTCTCTCCTTATACCACGAAGAACTAGCCAGTTGAGTTTGTCACAATGCTTGGATTTCTTCACAAAACATTGAGTTTTTTTTTAGAAGGATTAGATATGAGGAATTATGCAGCAGACAATGTGGCTCCTTGTCGTTACTTTCGAATCACAGTGGGACTACTTACAACGGGCATTACACAGCATATTACAGACACCCTTACAGTGGCACGTGGCATGAATACAACGATTCACACGTGTCCCCAATTTCACCAAAATCTTTTGTGAGTGAGGAAGTATATGTCCTCTTTTATGAACAGGAAGGAACAAAAAAGCACTTTTGAGGTGTTTTTTTTCCTTTTCAGTAAGCTGAATTCTGTTAATTGATTTGTATTTCATGGTTCTTCTGATTGAAGATTATTATTTTATTTATTCTTTCGAAGATATTGAATCATATCATACTGTTCCTAAAGAAAAAAACGCCGACTGCCACTGATAGCCGTAAACCAAATGTGCGCGCGCAAATGTTCGATATTCGCTGCCGTTTCAGACGCGACTTTGCTTTGAGAATAATTCTACCGGCTTCGATGGAATGCCGACAAATTTTTCGGTGCCTTCGATTGTCAAATAAAAGCCCCATCCACTCGCCCATAGAGAGAGTGGAAGTTACAGTGCGGTACGCGAAACGATCTAATACGGTGATAGACATTTGAGTAATAGTTGAAGTTTGAGTAGAAGTATTTTGTTTTATTGATAGTGAAACAAAGTTGAGTTTGATTATTCAGTGTAGTTAATCATTGATAAATTTACGGGAAAAAGCGTTACGATATCATATCAGACAATGGAAGTCCGAACTGGTAAAACTTACCATGAAACGTTGTCAACCACTTCCAAACGAATTCCGGAGATTTTATATTGCAATCCATCATCATCATTATTCTAATGAATAAAATAAAAAAACATGAAAAGAATAGAATGGAACAATTTTTGAACCGATCACCAATTTTTTTTCTTAGTTAAGTGAAGATTCCAAATTATTCCAGGTTGGCCAAATGAAAACGAAATATATTTATCCAGAATATTGTTCACTCCCAAGCAAGGATGGTAATCACCCCAAAATTTTCGAATGGCATGGGGTGTAAAAGTTTCGCTGATAGTTTTTTGAAAAATTACATATAAAAACTATCGTCATTGGGAGAAAAAATTCGTCAAATAATTCTTCGCAAAGTGCAAAAAAATTTTGAAAAGTCTTGAGAAATAATTTCAAGGACGTTGAATGGATATCATACTCGAAGGGTATGGTTTCCATAAATGAAAAATCGACCGGTTTTTGCATTTTCCTAAATAGTTGACGCAGTTCCTGAGTACGGAACTATTTCGTTTTCATTTTGTCACTCTGTATGAATACATAACTAATATATTGATAACCAATTTAACTAATATATTGAACCAATCGATATTTTGATTTTCAGCTCCAACGTTTGGTTCTTCTGGTGAGTAGACTATTTTTAAATAATGGAAACCATTTAGAAAATCAAAGGAATATATTCATTCATGAAAGAAATAATTTTTTGAGGAAAGAATTGTTAGTGTGATATATTGTCCTTAATTTGAAGGAAATACAACAACAAAATGATACTCGAAGTGTCTAACACAAGCCTTTATTTTCAACTACTCTAAAACACGAAAACATTTCGAAATATAAAAAATGACACCGAATCCGTACAAGTACGCTGCCTTGTACAGTATGTAATAAAAATATTAGAACATATATCACATCTCCTCCCTAGAAGAAAAACTTCACTCATCCCTAAAAATATGTGAATGAATAAAAAAAATACTTATATTCTAAACGTGCTGGAGGTTTCACCACCCGCTTGGATCTTGTATTTTTTATTTCAACAATTCTTTCCGATGTTTCATCATTTGTTACAATATCAGATGGTTGAAACTTATCTGGGGATTACACATCATTTGCCCCATTTTGTGATACATCAACTGATTCACATCGGTCAAATAATTTTCATTCTACAATATGAAATTTTTTTATTTGATCCAAGTGACGTTTTCATTGAATATTTCCTAAAGCAGGTGCAGTTACAATATATACCGCTTTTCCTATGCGTTTAAAAACAACTGCCTCAGTCTACTCAATCGCATTTGGTTTTTTATAATCACGCACTGTCACTGATTCACCAGTTTTGAAATAAACAAATCTGTTATATTCTATCCATTCCCAATTGGAACGGCAATAAAAAGATGAGTACAGTCATAAACATTTCTTGCCTGTGGCCCCTAGTCGCCCAGATAATAAGTAAACGTGCTATCAAATGTAGTTGAGGAATAAAGGCTCGGCTAGCTGGACTGGCTGAATACTAATTTTTTGTCCGTTTCACAATATTTCTTTATCAGTGCCGTGTGTTCGTGGGGTTAGGTGAGGTAGTGAGTGGTTTTGCAAACTGATTTTTGAATACTTTTCTAGAGATCAATTACCCTAACACCAAACTGATATTTTAGCACTCGACGCGCGTTTCGCTAACAAGGTTAGCATCTCCAGGAGAAGCAAATTGATACTGAATCTAAAGACAAGGGTTAGCTGTTTATATACCAAAATATACAAATTAATTTATCAATAATAGATATGGCTTTCTGGAGACCTTTTGAAACAAATGATAACATTACGTGTGAGGAATCTGTGTCAATCGACAGGGATCCGGAATTTGAAAATAAGGACTTACGTGTTCAAGTTTAGCGAGTAATTTTAAATATTCATGAATGCTTGAAAGAAGAAAACTGTCACACTTCACAGAATGCTATTGTGAATAGAATATGCGAGTTAACGAAACTATCTCGGTCGACAGTTCTTCGTGTCATTAAAATAGGGGATGTCATCGATCATGCACTGAAATGAAAACAAAGGAATAAAAAATTCGCAAACGTTGATGGTAATACAAAAGATGTGATTCGGCGAACAATTCATGGTACATACCAAAAAAATGAAGTACCAACCTTGGAAATGATTTGATATAAATTACTCGACTATCCCGAGTACAATTACAAATCTTTAGAAACTCTACGAGGTGTCTTATTGTCTTGTGGTTACAAATATGAAAAATTGAACAAACGGATGGTCATAATGGAATCGACACGCATTGTTCAACTCCGACAAGAATATTTGATGCGAATGAAAAGCTACCGCGAATCCAGCAGACATATAATCTACCTCGACGAAACTTGGTTTGACACCCATGATGTTGTCAAATATGGCTGGGTAGACGAAACCAAGTATTGTGCTTTGAACACACCTTCTTCAAAAAGAAAACGTGTTATAATTCTGCATGCCGGGAATGAAAGTGGTTTCGTACCTAACGCTTTGCTTCTGTCGGCCAAAAATATAAAAGATTCGTCTGCTGATTACCACGAAGATATGACTGCGGCTTTATTCAAAACCTGGTTCAGTGAACAGCTTCTCCCAAATATTCCTCCAAACTCGTTTATTTTTATGGATAACGCTTCGTATCATTCTCGGTTATTGACTAAAATACCAAACAATAACACAAAAAAACATATATTGTTGATTTCATGCGAAATCATGACATGGAAATACCCGAAAAGATTTCAACGAAAAAGGTATTACTGGCGACCATGAAACAACGTAATTTCAAAAAAGAGTTTATTATTGATTCGATGTGTGAAACACATGGTCATATTCTCTTACGTTTGCCTCCATACTATTGTGTTCAATCCAATTGAAATGGTTTGAGCCACAATGAAAGAAAGCTTGTGGAAATGTAATCAGTCACCGACTTTGAATGCTGTAGTGCTTGATAATATAAGGCGAGTGGTGAATGAAGTAGGTAATATTGATGTGTGGAAGAACTGTGTAGCCTACGTTATAAAAGAAGAGAACAAATATCATGTGCAAAGTTCCATAAATCCGATCGTTATTCAACCTGATGATGATTCCACCTCATCCGAATATAGCGAAGAAGAATTTTGATTTTTCTAGCAATTTTGTTGGCCTCTATTATTTTTTAAATATATGTTTGACGAGAATTCGGTGTGATTATTTGTGTTTTCATTGTATTTTAGAGTTTTCGACTCGGAAATCAACTACCTTAAATTTCGAAGTTTTCATAATTACCCATGGTGGAAAAATTCAGTTGAGATAACTTTTTCATGGGGTGATCAATTGCTATGATTGTAAGAATGAGTAACTGAAAAACTACCACTGAAAAATAATATGCCGACGCTTATGTCGAGGCGGGAATTCCTTCTCTGTGCTGTTCCAATTGGTATTGGAAATACTATACCTTTGTTATAGTATTTTTGACTATTTTGAGGTTCTGAGATAGAACTTTTCAATTCTGATTGATTATGCGGTAATAACAAATTGAAACAAGTGCGTAACTCTCTTCCCAGAAATAATTTTGCTGGTGTTAATTTTGTAGTACAGTGTGGAGTTGAACGATAGTCAAATAAAAAATTGTTTAATGCCATATTTATCGTTACATTATTGAACTTCCCCAGTGCATTTTTTAACGCTTTTTTAATTATGCCTGAATTTTCCGCTGCACCGTTAGATGCCGGATGAAATGGCGGTGTTGATAAAAAGTTCTCAAACTCTACTGAACGAAAAGAACTTCTGTTAATTATACAGGGTGTTTCAAATTCGATCCTCACCATTGGGACCTCGGAAACTATGAGAGATACGATGATGGTTGAATTGGGGCAAGTTGCGCATTTGCCTGACTAACAATATGCTGTTGAGAAAGTTCTGAAATTCCGAGTATATCCTGAGATATCTGGGAAAATTAGAAATTTCGGAAAGTGGTCCTGCAATAATTTTATTTTGTTGGTATTTCATGATCACTTCCAAAATGCTAATTGATTATACTAGACGAGTCGTGAATATAATACAGTTGTAGGCAATAAAAGTGTTTTATAAATTTGTCATAGAAACGTTTATTAAAATTATAAATACCCACGTTATAAAATAGTCACGAAATTATCACAGAAATGTTTTCCTATAGAAGTCATTTGTTTTGTAGAAGTTTAGCAGCAATTTTCTATGAGGTTTGTATGCTCTTTATAAAACTTTTTCAAGATTATTTTATAACTGCTTCCTGTAGCTTCAATAACATTATTTTATTGGAATGCTTTCGAACACAATTTTGTTTTCATTACCATATTGTCACTTTAATGATAATTTTCCAACTATTTCATAGTATGATATATATACTACAATTCCAAAACAATGAAATAACTGTTAGAAAATCTAAATATGACTCTGATAACTTAGTATCCTATTTTTTTTTCAGTACATTCTTTCTCCCGTGCAGATTCTGGTGAGTGAAATTCATAATTTCAGATATATTTTATATTGTTATTTGAAATATTGATTATCTTCAAGTGTGAACATACTTCACTTGAATTTAAAAAAAAAATATGAGATTTTTATTTTCAGATAATTGTATACAGAAAGTGAAGGCCAACTTTAAGTTCGACAAGAAAAAAAAAATATTATTAACAAAAAATGAAAAATAAAAATTAAAAGATTCCAAACCAAGTTTCGATTGTTAGTATCCACAATCGTCTTCGCGTGATAACTCGATAAGATATGAACATCTGTTATTTAAAAAGGAAACAAAGTCCTCAATATTCGATTTTTTGTTATCAAATATCGCAAAAACATCATCCACATAATCAGCCATACTCTGATTTTTCTTTAGTTTCCATTTCAAACTTGGTCATGAATAGGTTGCCCTCCTGTTATTCATAAAAGCAACCTTCTACCTGGATTGGTTTTGTTTCATAGACAAATTAGTAAAAGAAAAGAATTCATCAATTACTCATTTATTGAAAATATTTTTCCTTGGTAATTCCGGTATTGTAAGGTCTGTGGAATTGGGACGCTAGGAAATAAAGAACTAACATCAAAGGAAACCAAAATCTCTTCCAGAACGATGTTTTTTATATCTTGTTTGAACTCTAAGTAGTGTTTTATACTGAAACCTGGTTTCGCAATAGGCAATCTTTCAAATCCCCTAGTCAGCCACTTCGCTATTTGGTAGGTAGTAACTAGATCCAATAGCTGATACGATGGGGCGCATTGATTTTCCCGATTTGTGGATTTTTAGAAGGCAATAAAGTTTCACACCGTTGGATTGGATACTTGTAAGTTCCGTTTCAATTGATGGGTAAGTATGTTGTCGCATTTCTTGAGAACGTCTTTTACGTTCGCAATCATCGTTGGTAACAGATTCCTGGAAAATTTCGCATACGGTCCGTTGGTAAAGAGAGTATTGACCCTTTCGTAGTAGTCCGATTTATCCAGAATTACCACTTTGTTACCTTTGTTGGCTTTCAAATGAAAAACGTCTTTGTCTTTCAATCTCCTGATAAGTTCCTTTTAGTGTTTATTATCATTCATTGAATGTTTCGGTTTATCTGCTATTATTTTTCTGGAAATTTGATTTCTGACTTTCTCTCGAATCAGTTCCTTCGAGCTGACTGTCTCTCTGACCAGTCCCTTCGAGGAATCAGCAATGATATCCTCAAGGCATTTATTGGAAGACAGGATGCCAAATTTCAAACCATTTTTCAGAAGGTTGATTTTTTTCTTATCACACGATTGTGATGAATGATTTTCCACAATGTTCATGACTTTCGGAGTGGCTCCTTTTGGTTTATTCTTGGATATAAAGGATTCGAGTTTCTTATTCAGAGTACACATTTTCCTGATGTATTTTGTTTCAATCATTCGAAACATCCCTCTCTGAAAGTCATTCCATTGTGGGTAATCATTTTCGTCTAATCTATAAGTTAGTTTTTTAAATAGACTAAAGCTACTTAATTCTAAGAGACTACGGTTAGTGTACAGATGATAGATTTCCAAACCAAGCCATTGCTCTCTGGCGAATATCTGAAGTTTATCAGCAACTGCAGATTCAATAGGAATATTTACGTGAACAAATTTTGGAAAAATAGAATATCTTTTACAGCTCTTTAGAAACGAAATATCTTCTTGAATTAGCCCAATTCTTGTTCAGTTCGTACGATACAATAAATTGGTTAAGGCTTTCTCGGCCGAGATTTTCAGTGTTAAGATCTTCATTCGGGTTTGAAGGCCGCCGTAGTTTGGAACTGCATCCTGACGTTTCGCCAGCACGAGTGGCTGGCTTCTTCAGAGATTTATTCATCTTGATGGTTCACCGATGACTATAGTCCGTTCATAATTTGTCGATAGCACAAAATGAGGGCCCAAGTCATAAAACGGTCGTAAAACTCGTAAAATCATAGGCGGAGGTTCCTGAGGTGTTTATTCATTAAATATAAAGCTTCAGTTTATATTCGAAACTTGCCTTGAAAGGGTGAAGTTGTTACGAACGAAAATAATTTTTGGTTTAGTACATTTTTTAATCGCATTTA